TAATCACCCTGCAGCTCTCCCTGTTGCTGGCCAGAGAAAATTATAACAACTCCACAGTCGAGATTTTCCCCCTCTGCACATCAGTAACAAGTTATTTTATAAAAAGACCTGGAAAAGAAGCATTTCATCTAGTATAAATGAGGTTTTTAAATCCCATTTGCCTTCCCTCTTCATGCAAAGCTGTGCTGATCTTATGAGGCTCCTATTTCCTGGATTACACGTGTCAAGCTTTGCAAAAACGAGCATACCCTGGTGGTTTAACGCCATATTTCACAGCCCTCTCTCAACCATGCTGACATAAATATTTCAGAGACCTGCACACAACTGTTTGAGTTAGGTCTAGGTCACCAAGAAGCCAATGGTTCGGACAGATTCATTAATTCAGCAAAACACTTAGCAGGAGCCAGTGTAGCTCAGGAGATCCCAGTGAACAGCAGGAGCAAGATACCCACCAACAAGGTGTAAGGAAATCCTCGCCAGTCACCACGTCACCCACACGGGCTGTGGGACAGGCCCTGGCATGGGACTCTTGAGCCAAAGGGATCCTTCCTGCCACTACCTTCTCCTCCCCGCTTTAAAAACCTCTTCTTAGCTTATCGCAGTGCTGGCTCATTCAGCCACTGAAATCTCCTGAAAGACAAAGACTGGCAATGAAACTGGACTGAATTATTCCCCATTCTGAGTCCTATTCTTTCCAAAACCACAGCAAGTCCTTCAAAGCAGCTTCTGAAATTACCTCCCCAGCGTGAACACTTTCTTTGAGAAGAAAAAACACGTGTTTTCATATGTGTAAAACCTTGTTTGTGCAGTAAATGAGACAGGGAAGACCTGAGACAAGTATGAACAGCAAAGACAGCTACTGACAGAGAAAGCAGCCTGAGGATTCTTGGAAGTTACAGCCATGGATATTTAAATGCTAAGCAATGTATCATCAGCTCCCTGCTGAATGTAAGATGGTTTCATCTTTGCAGAAGCAGCAACAAGAGCATGCTCACGTCAACTTTGCTCTGGCAGTTTGATCAACAGCAGCAGTCATGTCTTCTTATTTTTTAACTGCAATATAATTAGGCACTTAGGAAAATTACTCTGAACAGTACAAATGCTATAGAGTAACTGCAGGTATCAGCACAGAGCTCTGCAAGCAAGAAGTTTAACCACAGCTAAAGGTACAGGCCAGCCGAGCTCCTGTAACACATGCTCTGCCTCACTAGGTACTGAGACATGCTATCCAAACCTGAGAGGAGATCCAATGGTGCAACATTTCAATTGCCAATGCAAGATTTTGCTCCATTTCTCCAGTCTGCAGGGAGCTGCTCTGGACCAAAGGAAACCTTTCTGTGCCCCACTGTTGCCTCCTCTCAAGTGGAAAGCATGCAGAGTAGACTGTAAATATTTTGATATTTTGGGCAGATGAGGTTCTCACTTGGTCCATCTGGATTTGGAAACTGGACACGTTAATTGCCAACTTCAAACTGTCAGCTGAGAAACCTGCCAGCAAGTTTCTGCCACATCAGGAACTAGGTAAATGCTGCTGCCACAGAGGTGGACAGAGCCCATCTGCAGAGCAGCATGGGCTCCCTGCAGTGCTGGTCACTGCTGAGGAGATAATTAACACCCTTTTTTTTTCCCAGTTAAACCCTTGCCTCTTATATCCTTTTTCTTAATCTTCACAGCAATGTCTTCCCAGAGGAGCTACTTCTGACCATAATGTCAGGTGGAAAATCTGCTGGTCAGTGATATGACTAGCTGGTCAGAGCAATCAAACTTTCAATCATCATCAGGAATGCTAAACAAAATAGTAACAAAAGTTACAACAAATAACAAAAGTAGGTAATTCCCAGGAAATGAAGCATTCATGTGCTCTAGGATGTTGTGTGGCAGATTTGAGGTCACCTGAAAACATGGAAGAAATGCTTTTATATAAAGAACCCCCAAGAAAACTGTCAAACTGGTGGAGAAGACCATCAGCACCATTCAATCTTTCCATTCATCTCTGCCATCCCAAAGACTAAGGATCAGCCTTTGGTTGCCATAACCATCTGGCGAGATCACCTTGAAAAGTGGTAGGGTGTTTCTGTGTGCTGACAGACTCACCTCCATGCACTTGACAGAGCAGCAACAAAAGCAAGTCACCACCTCTGCTACATTTCTCTGAGATCTTCCAACTCACAAGAGTACTATCACCTGGTAAAAGTGCATTCATAAAGGAAAAAGACATCAGAGGAAGCACAACTTCAGAAAAATTCTGTGTCTGTGGTGGAACAGTTACCTGACCACAATAAGTGATCTGACCACGGGTGTGAACATCCATTTTGAGGACATTGCAATCCTACTCATTAAAACCCACACAGCCTGCAAGTTCCTATGGATGCTAACCAAGAACAGAACAAAAAGCCCCAGAGATGTCTTCACCGTTTCCTCAGACAACACCAAAAGAAGTAAAATAATAGAGGTGCTGGACAGCTTTCCAAGGCGCACGTGTCCTTTCTGTCTAACCCAGCTGCGCCTGGTGCATTATTTAGTGCCAAGTGAGAAAGAAGCAATACCTAACAAAGTGTTAAAGGACTTTGTGAAGTTTCACCAACCTTTCCACAGCCCATCAGCTTCCCAGCTAGCTGGCAGAAGAGACAACTGATCTCCTTGCTTCCAGATTACAGGCAGCAGAGCTCTTAGGGTAACTGTCTCTCTGTGTTTGCATCCAGCTACCTCCAGCAGCTTGAAGCGTGCTCAAAGTGCAAGAAAGCACTTGATCAAAATCCAGCTCACATTGTAGGCAGCGAGGGAACAACCGCACAAAGCAGTGTTACATATACAATAACAATTGAATTTGGTGGAGGGATTTGACAGGTTACAGGTTGATGACACTGCTGCAGTCTCGACGGAAACATGGTTTGATGCAATTAGCAATAGAGCAAAACTGGAAATACATGCATAAAAGATGAGCAACTGCAGAACTGGACAGAAGCATAAAAATCCCGTGTTGAGCTCAGAACAGGAACAAGATGAAACAGGAGCACGACGGGGAGAAACGCAACTCTGAGCTCCCTTCCACTATTCAAAATTGAAGATCCAGACTTTAAATCAAAACATTTGCTTCCTCCGGAGAGACTGGCCCCTTTGCTGCAGGAATACAACAGAAGACAGCGTGGGGGCATCCTGGAGAGGCAGGCAGCAGAAAGTAAACTTCTGAGCACTGTGCTGCGGTTCACTTTGGCCTGTGCTGAGCACACACCAGCCAGGACTCTGCTTGGCTACAAGCGAGTGAAATCACATCAGAGAACATTGGAAGATGCAGAACCACCAGATTAGACATACTGCCAATGTGTGTGCCTCTGCTAAAGGACTGAAAGACACATCCCTCGTGCAGCCATGCTGGCTGCTTCCCTTGTCCTGTGGGTCAATTCCCTTCCCAGCACAGACCTGTGCTAGCAAGGGGGAAACCCTCGAGCTCAGAGGACACAGGAACGGGTTCGTGGTGGTAGCAGGTTCCCCAGCCTTGCTTCAGGTAATACACATGCTAAAAGTGCGAGTCACAGTCTACACACAAGGTTTCGCTACAGAGAAACCCACAGGGGACAAAAACCCAGGCTGACAGGGGGAGACCAAAGATGACTCCTCTTTCTGACATGTCTCTACCCAAATCTGCACGTACACCTGAAATGAGAATCCGTACTGGCTAGACGATGAGGCAGGCCACCACTTAAGCCTTTTACAAGAGTAATTTAAATTCTTCTCCTCTGCGAATGCTAACAAGCTCCCTACTTCCACAAGCCCTTCACTGCACAGGCCCAGCCTGGAACTGCTACAAAAATAAAGCAGAACAAAACACCTGAGCAATAGAGAAGGTGCTTCTGAACAAAACTGGCAACGACGTTTATAGTGACTGCAAGCATATACATATTCTGCTTCAACAAGGGTGGTGGGGATGCACCAGTCTGAATACTGAACAGGGACAGCACATGCCTTCCATACATAATGGTACCAAAATGGAATACAAGTATATACTGGGGCTTTTGCTAGACATTCATGTTATACAAAGATTTACATTTGGAACAGTTGTTCTGCTATATCTGGCAGAAATTTCAAGACAAATGGATCCCATATTTATTCATTCAATGATAACTGAGCACAGGATAAAGCTCTTTTAAATTCAAAGCACTTTATAAAAATTAATTACTACTTAGTTCACCCTTGTGAGGTGGGAAGGTATTACACCTGCATATACATGAGGACACCAAAGCACAAGTGGATTAAATACCTTGTTCAAGACCTCAGAGGCAGGCTTACTGATCATCCTAATTGCTGAAATAAGTGTGCATACATGCATCTGTGTGTGTGTTTAAATGGGCTTATCCTCTCCAGAGCCATTCCCAGCGCATGGGTTTTTGCAGTGAAGCCAGCCTACTCAGTTGGTGTCTTCTCACCATACGTGTCCCATACATGTCTAATAAAAGATACCAGCCCAAAAACAAGGGAAGAGGTTTTTTTTGTGGCATGTATAGATAGGGATAAGAGCTGGATTTCAAACACCCAAGGAACAGAAAACCTATTGTTAAAAAGCTGTGTAGTGTTACATTGATGGTTCTTAATCAGATTGCCACTGAGCAGCATTTCACCAGCCCACACTGGAGCACAGCAGACCTGGGATACCACATGCCAACAAACGTTATAAAATCTGTCCCTTGACAAGCGTACAAAGAGAGAAAGGGCTTCTGAGCTAGTGAGAGAGACACATCACCACCTACAACGTGAATGGCAGCCCACTCGACCTGCTCCAGTGAACTGAGAACACTTTAGCAACCGCTCCCATTGCCAGCCAGTTCTGTGATGGTCTCTTGTCCCTGTATTGGGTCATTGGGTCCATACCTCTTTGTCTGAACACCAGCAAAAGAATACATCGTCATGGGAACAAACAGGTATTTTGAGTTTCTGCAAGGTTTCTGTCAGTGCTGTCAGGTGGGGTTTCAGAGGGATGCTATAATTAGTCATCAGCATGTTACCTGGACGGATGGTTTGCCACTGATGTGTGGGGTAAAACACTTCCAGGTCTTCAGGATCAGCATCATCTTCTGTTATCGGCTCTTTCCCACTGTCATCTTTTATGTCGCTCTCTTCTATTTTTGTAAGGGCAAACTCCTTTCGGATAGAAAAGATTCAGCTCATTAGCAATTGCATCTGAGTAATTTAGTGCCGGCTGAGAATACAAAATTTTTTCCCGCGCCAGCAGATTTTTTTTTTGACATCCAAGATTCTTTCCACATGGTTAAATTTAGATTTAAAGTATATTAAAGGTTAAACATGCATAAGTAGCATGACATTTGTGCTGAACAAAGCAACGCAGCTTATTTCCTATTCCAATGCAGGCTGCAGGTTTAAAACAAGCTTTCACAGAGCCTCACCTATATTACAGTCAGAACCAGGAGCCCTGACTATTACTAGGGTTGTGTAACATTGTAAGACCCCGTTTTCCCTTTTCTAAAAATATGTCAAACTTTTAACTTTTTCAGCTGAAATTTTCCACGCAAGTGGAATGCCTCAAGCGTTGGGGTTTTTTTTTTTCTTAAATGCACTTATTTCAGGCTTGGAGAAGATTTCAGCTAAAATAGTTCAGCTATTTCCAAAATAGGACACAGGGAAAACACACCGAATTGCCCACATGATAAAAAAGCGAGCATCCTTTTCTCCACCCGTTCCCAGTGTCCTCCAAGTCTTTTAAAACAATGAGGCAGCAATTTAATCACCACCTACGTTGTAAGTGCAGCACGTGAATGGCAGAGGTGTGGTAGATCAGCTAGCACGAGTGGTATGACGTTACGCAAAGGAAAAAACAAGGATGAAAAGCAGGAAAAAAAACCCTTGCTGTGAGGGAAACCTCACTGTTCAGTGGAAAGTCTCCCTAGGGAGCTGGTGGGAGTCATGTAAAACTGCAACAGATAAAATTATTGAGAGCGCATAGTAAGTAACGACCTCATACTATCTTACACCCGGCTATTAACTGCTCGGGAAGCAGGTCTTTGCTACTCTGGTTTTCACAGGAACAGATAAGCTAGTCCAGGCTAATCATCCAGACAGCTCAGTTTCTGTTGCAGGGAGTATTATCAGCTTCTGATATCGCCAAGAACGCCACCACTGAATCATTTCAAATAACCAGCCTATAGTGAAAGATTGTTCCTCATTGTTGGCAATTAGAATAAGAGTTACAGCTCACTTCATGAAGTGTGTTGATATTAATCCTTAGAATGTTTTCATAGGGAAAAAGAAGTCGTCAATTAAGAGGTTAATGAGAAATTTTAGGCCATGTTCTGCCTTCACTGCTTCCACTTCTTGGAAAAAATGCATGCATATTTCCTGGCAGAATCTGGGTGCTTTCCATATAAATATCCGTTACCCAGCCTAGGAGAGTGTTTTCTGAGCAAGAGAAATGTCAGCCTGAGCAAAACACGTACAATTAGCAACGACAGTGGCAACACATGAAGATAGTTGACAAACCTATAGAATGTTTTTATTTTATCTGTCAAAAGGGACTGAAATTTCGGAAATACACTGGAAAGCAGAGCTTAACTCCTGCTTTCGTGTAGTGCATCAGAGGCTTGAAATTGTTAAAATTATGACAAATGGTTAAAGCCCAGTAACAATCATAAACATAAAAAGCCAGGTTCTGCAGATGAAAATCAATGTTAACATTTTCTGAGCCAAGACTCAACAGGACTAAAATAAATGAGTCAGAGCAGTTATTACTTAGCTTATTTACGCTGCTATATTATTATCCAAGAGGGACTTAACGATACAGGCTATTGTAAATTTACCAACAGGCCTCTGAGTGTTGTATCTGTTGAAACACATAATGGAGACAGCTGATGTTTACTGGCTCTGCTTAAGAGAAGTGTCTAAATGTTCAGTAAGGGTAAAAGGATGTGACTTGGTTCACTTAAATGTTAATGCCACTGCTTGGCCTGCAGTTGCTTTGCAATACCCCATTTTCATTAGTATTTCTGGCAAAAACGGGCAACAACACACAAGCAATTCTTCATTTATGCAGAAATTAGGTAGAAACCTTTTCAGTTTGTTTTCATAATTAAGACAGTAGAAAGAACGAACAATGGAAATTTCCTTAAAGGCAAAAAGCCTCCTTGCTTTATCAGTCTGAAATCAACTGCAATAAGCTGAAAAGCCTCAGCAGGGAGGCTTTGAGACAATCTGCAGTCTGTTTGCAATAAAGGAGGGGCATGGCCACCATGGAGCGCTGTAGCGGGAGTGCAGGAAAAGGTGATGGGAGAGTTAACCACACATTGCATCAATCCTGTCTGAACTTCGGTGTCAGGCTGCCTGTCAATTCAGGCAGGTATCACTGGGTGGCTGTCCCAGTGCTCGTTCTTCAGCTGGGATGACTGTGCTCTATCTCCAGCCTCTTCCCCTCCCTCCCTGAAATAAAGACAAATTATTTCACTGTTACATGACTCCAGGTGGGCCCAAGGCACTGGTCTACAGTGCTTATATTGTCACCTGTCCCTTGTATTTGCTCTGGGTAATAGCACAGTCCCCAGACAGTTGCATCACACAACCAACAGAGCAGCAAGCTGCAATGCAAAGGCAGGAGCGAGTGCCCAGGGACGTGGCATCCAGTGATCCCCTACTCCAGTTTTGCTGGGGGACCCCCTGTTTTAAGCCACAGCATTAAGTAAACTAAAAAACCACCACTCTTTACCGCTCAAGCTTTCTCAAGGAAGCTTTCCAGATCTGCTAATTTAGGGGGGCCTAGCACCTGGGGCTTAGCAGCAGAATCCAATCCAGGGGAGTTTTGCACACCTGTACAGTGCAAAGGGACAGACAGCAACCACTCACCTCAACTGCAGCTTCAGAACAACACTGCAAGTACCAAAATCCATGCACATGCAAGGACCTGAGAGGGTGCTCTTCCAAGCCTGACTCACTTGCGGTGACTCAAGAGAGGCACAGTTAGGAACATAACTGAGGCCACCTCTTCCCATCTTCTTGCCACTAGACCGCATAATTAGCTTTGCCTCTTGCCACAGTGGGAACGTGTGACAACTCCAAATAGAAAAAGTGACATCTGGCAAACAAGAGAGCTGCCCAAATTGCACTGTGCCTGTTGCAAACCCTCTGGATTGAGCATATACTGGATTTCCTGGGGTGAGGCAAGCGGTCTCAAGAAAGAAGCCCTTCTGAAATGTTATTGAAGGCCCACTGTCAAGGAGAGGTGATTCACCAACTGCTGCTACATTCTACTTGGTCCTACAGAGGGATCAGGTAAGGCTGTCGCCCCACCAGAGACTCCGGTGGCTGGACAGCCCTTTGCGAGTGAAGCTTTCAGCCAGAGCAGCCAACACTTACAGGAGCTCTGTTGCTTAGGCTTGACTGGGAAAACACCACAGAAACCACCAAGACCAGCAGGTTGACTTTGGCAGCAGTGGAGAGGAGACTGGCCCAGTGAGACATTGCCATCAGCCTGAAATGCAAAGGAAAACAAAACGAACAATATTTTAGTCCACGTTTTCACAGGTTTCAGCATTCTTTACACGACATTTTGCAACGCAGCACGGGTTCAGGGGTGCGACACCACAGGAAACAGAACACCTCGAGGTGTTAGTGCATGGGTCTCATCAGGGGCAGCCAATAGCAAGAGGTACCGATTTTACTGCTAATGGAGTTTATGACAAGGAATGACAAAAGTAGCTTATATTGACCCCACAGGAGCTTATATCTCTCCTGGAAAATACAGAGAGACCAGCAAGTCTTGTTTAAAATCACTGTGTTAGTGCCATGGATGACAGCTACAGGGAAAAATAAAAATCAGTGCAATCCTGCAAAGGCTTTTTATGCCTTTGCCTCATTTTAAGCACAGAAGTAGCTGCATTAATTCAAATTAAACAAAACTACCAGCCATCAAAGGATCAGGAGTTTATCTAAACCCATATGTAGGTTTTTCTTGAGGAAAACAACATTTTGCAGAGGTCAACAAGGTGTACTTGGTGGTTCCTACAGCACAAGGCTTTCCCTGCTGCTCAAAGTGCCAGCTCACTCAAACTGTGAGCCCAGGAGCCGGCTCTGCCTATGCTTGCAGTGGACCATGAAGCAGTCCCGTGGCATACAGCTGCCCTGACTGACTACAGACCACGTATTGAACTCGAGAAGGGCGGGGTGGGGGAAAGAAGGGTTCTCCTCTTGTGGCTGCCAGTCACCCTGGTACAGAGCTCATGTCCTCACCGCTACATGTGTAACCATGCTCACGCACACGCATGGCCCCACTGCCTCGCAACACGAGGCTTTAAATCCACCTACAGCATTCGGCTCACTACTACTTCTCATACTGGGGTAGGGAACAGAGCAGCCTGCCAGCACACAGGCTGAAGAAGTATTTCCTTTGATTGGCTCTAAATTTACACGCTGCTAAATTAAACTAAATGAGGTCTTTTGAAAGAAGATGGGACTGATTAGTTCCGTTCTAACACTCCTTCATTACTCATCCCTCCATCAAGTCTGTTCCTACTCCTATCCAGGTTTTAAAGAATCTCCTCCCATACATGCAGTCCTAAATATCTTTCTGTCTCTGTCGTCCATCAGGATTGCACATCAAACGCAGACTTCCTTCCTTCCTTGAAGCAACCATCTCCTATTCCACGAAGCAGAAAATATGCTCACAGGCGCACCCCACCACCAACTCCTGCCACCAAAGGACCTCTCCCCACAAAAAACTTCAGGGACATGGAGGGAGTGGAGTCGTCTCCTTCCCCTCCTTTACTGCTATCTTGTCTCCCCACTCCATTACATTACTTCTTCCTCTTCCTGCTTGGTTTTTGTTTTAGCCAAAAAAAGAAAAGGTAAAACACTGCATCATGCTGGTCAGTGGTGGACATCTATGAAAAAGCAGCAGAGCAGGGAGCACAAATAGTAATACATCTGATGCACTTCTGCATCTTCCAGAAGCTCCTGACCCAGGGTCTTCCTGAACAGCAGCCTCTATATTTGAACTCAAATCCAGATCAACCGGATTTTTGTTTTTCCCATTAATTGCTTTTGGAGCAGATCTGGACTTCTGACACCCACAGCAACTCAGCAATGAGTTCCACCATTTAATTCACACCATGCATGAAAGTACCACCTTGTGTTTCTGACCTGATGCTTGATATCCTCCTTCGATGTCCTCCTCTTTTCTAAAGGGTCAAAGGACCACCTCAAGGACCCACGAGCCCTTACTAAACTACAAACAGAGTAGAAGCAAAGCTCTCCATTTTCAGAAAACAGGCAAAGACAGCCTGTGACCAAAGCTTCCATCTCTGTCTTGGGTCACTGCCAAGTGCAACCAGGCTACAACTAACACCCACGTTCCTGAGCTGGAAAACCCAGAGCAGAGTTCATGGGCTCAAACTCCACCTGCTCCCAGAAGATCAGCGTATCCTTCTGGCCAGTGCCACAGTCAGGACCTCAATCTGAGACTGACCAAGACATACAGACCTCCCCTCAACTCACCTTGGAATAAACTGCTGCTTTTTACAGCAGAAACAGTTTTTTGGGTTTTGGTTTGGTTTTTTTTTTAGTTATAAAACAAGCGACAAAACTGGGATAATGAAAAATAGATGTATCCCTAAAACTCTACCTGCAAGCCTGGAAATAAAAAGAGAAAAGAAGAAAAAGAAATTCAACAAAGCAGTGGCTGAAAGAAAATGCACACTCCCGTAAAAATAGAGCTCACGTGTACCAAGAAGGCTGGTAGCAAATGACAGTACAGCCTCTTTAAAGCCTACAAACTCATGCCTGCCTGGAAGATGACATCTGCACAACAATTAGCAGTTTGCTTAGGTCCCAGGTAGGCAGGAGGAACTAACATGTGAAACACGGGGGTTTGAAGCTCCTGGAGAGAAGTCTGCACAGGCTGACATCTCATTACAAGACAGACGCACGCAGAGGGCATGAGAGGATTTCCAAACCAAATGTTATGTGGATACAATGCATTTTTAGAACTGACCCTTGCAGCTCACAAAGCAGAAAGGGTGGTAGCTGTGATCCCACCTGTATGGGGAGCATTTGCTCTTATTTAGGAACATTATTTTGGATCCAGCAGCACCCATGTACAGCTGCAGCCAGTCAGCACCAGAACCACTACAGGAGGACCACAAACTCCCCTTACGTGGAGCAGGGTGTTGGTTTTTTTCCCAATAATCCTCTTATGTCAAAGAAAATCAGGTACTAGGGAATGAGCAAAGGGTCACACTCAAAGAAGCCTCTGTTCCTGGGGCAGTCCTCCTGTCAGAGCAGGCAATGTTCTGGGCTTCGCAGTGCAGGGAGGTTCTGCTCCGCAGCTCCAGGAAATCCTGTCTGCACCAGTAGCCACAGAAACAATAGCATTGCCATTACACTCTCTATTAGCAGGGACATTTTTACTGATTTTACTAGCTGCGCATCAATAAATGCTGCACAGCCCTGTGAATAAGTTTGCTGTAGTCATAGGTGACAGTTCAAAGCAAGTCAGTATGAGGAACATATTTCATTAATGCCTTCCACTGCTGGGAACACACCACTCTTTCATGTCCTAACTCAAAGCCCACGCTGCGTATACTATGCCACTCCAATAAATCCATCTGAAGCCTCATCTGAATTCTGATCTGCTGCTTGAGGAGAGCACATGGACATCCCAGAGAGCTCCCCGGCCCCCTTGCCAGGCTCTGTTTTTACAGCCAACTGGAAGCAATAACAATAAGCTAATCCTTGTTCTCATCTAGGGATCGAGGGAGAAGTATGGGAATTATAAGTCTTGCAAAATTGTCTGCAAATTTATTAGTTCAGGCCAGGTATCTGTCCAGCCACCCTTTGTTGAGATGGCTGGTGGTAACAAAAGCATCAACAGCACACTATGTGTCTACGAGCACAAATAATTCACAGACCTCCCCTCCCTGAGCACAGGTCAGCACTGGAGAACAATCAAACAGGGAAAGACATCAAGGAACACAGCCCAAGCATCCTTCAGCTGAACTGGTGGCACGAAGACCTCCAAGCACTCACAGCTTCTTAGGCTGAAGCCAAAGTTTGATGGGCAATAACAGTTAAGGAAACTATTTTAAAGACAGACGTGTAAACTAGGATGTCTGATTGAAGAGGTGCACTCAGGACACATCCTGCAATCAGTGTCGAGATCCCTGTTCAAACACAATGTCATTTTAATGACGCTGGCATCTATGGCTGAGACCGGCATGACATGCTAAGTGATGTGCCATACAACGGAGAAAGAGAAGGAAATTTAGTTGACTGACCTGAAATTTTCTTCCTCTGAGCAATAGGGTCCCCAGGTCTGTAATGAGCACCTGTTTTTGCTGACTTGCTACTGAAGAGCAGACCAGTGTCAGTCAGACAACTTGGGAATGTCCCATAGCCAGCAGTCCCTCCTCCTCCCATGACTGTGCAGCTACACCAACAGGAGAAAGAAGAGGTTTTAATCTGAAATTCAGCCTGTGTGTAAGAGAAGAAACAGCTGGTGGACAAACAGAGGATCACTAGGAGGCCACAGGACACTCTGCCCTTCCCAGTTTCATTACAGTTGGGTCTTCACAACCCTCTGCTTTCAAACAGATGAGCAAGACCAAACTGCAAATAAAATTATCCTCTCTTCTTCCCAGAGGCACAGGGACGCAAAGGCTCCTGTTAAGTACAAACCAAGCTAAGAGAAGCCAGCCTGGAAATACTCATGTTTTGGTGGACACAGGCCCAGATGACCATGTGTCTGCTTAGCAGGTCTCAATCCTGAAGACTTGCCTCAGCTCTCCCTGCCCTCACCGTATGCGGACATTGCACTGTGGCTTCTGGCATGAAGCACAGGATTTCTTGGATTTCCCCTGGAAATGGGAACCATAAGAAGACAACTTGCCCATATTAAAAACCCAATGGCTCTCATAAGAGAGAACACAGGTCTTGTCCTTCCAAACAGGTTTACCTGGAAATGGTTACCTGCAGCACGTTTTAATGTGCAGGATCCAGCAGAAAGATGTGAGCTGATGGGCAAGATGCTGCAAGAACCACAATGAGCTACCAAACCTTGTACAATGTGAGCATTCCCTACTGCCTTCACTAAGAGCAGGACTTGTGAGACTCTGATATCACTTTTCCCCCTTAAAAGACATCTTCATCTTCTTTTCACGCTTTTTCTTCCCCAAGACAAGGCCCAGCAATTAATTGCACTTGCCCTAGGTGCAGTGCCCAGGTAAACTGCTGTGGCTCTGCACAGCTGGCACAGCTGGCAGTGGCTCTGCTCGACAGGCACCTGGGAGACCTCCTGCTCCATACATCTGTCTGAGCTCACTCCTGCCACGGACAGGTCCTGATCAGCAACATTTCCAAAAGGAGGCAGAAGTGAATCTTCCCCTTCATTAAAGCCAATGTTAAAACTACAAAGATCCTGGAAGAGATCTGAATGCACTTGACTGATCAAAGAACTGGATCTGAATAAAAATTAATAAT